CTTTGTGCTGTGCCTGTTGCCTCTTCTACTTCTACTGTTAGCACCGGAACTTGGACTTGTGCTTGTACCTGTACGACGACTACTACTACTACTACTACTACTACTACTACTACTGCTACTGCTACTACGACTACTACGACTACTACGACTACTACGACTACGACTACTACTACTACTACTACTACTACTCCTACTACTGCTACTACTGCTACTACTACTACTACTACTGCTATACTACCACTGCTACTTCTTCTAAAGGGACCGCTGCCACTGCAGAGTGCCTCGGGAGGCCACTTTTCAGAGTACGACACGAACTGTGTTTCGTTTGTTTTGTGGTTTCACTACCTGCTCATTCGCGCTGGAGTTCCGCTCTTTCGCCCACATGATACATAACGACTTTTATGTGCACAGACAAACTCACAAGCTAGCGTACTGTATATGAGTAGACAGATATGCGGATAGATAGATATAGACGGAGACATAGCAGTATGAAACTGTGATGTGCGTACTGTTTGCCTCCGCTGCCTCCAACAAGGCTACCGCCCACAGCCCGGGGTGCATGACATGGTGAAAGGCATCACCGGGGCATCCCAAGATTCCAGCCGGCATGCCCGCATTCAGCTTGAACACCAGACAAGCACGGGACACAGAGACATCATCCCCCCGATCAGCATCAGCCAAGAACCGAACCTGAAAATGCTGCACGACTTTTGCCAGGGCTTTGGTTCATGCAGGGTTCCTGTGTAAATCCAAACCTCAAAGCAAAGAGCTAGGTCAGTGTGCCCGGCAATCCTGAAATAGCGGTAGCCGATCTTCGCGGGGCACCTTTGCTTTGCGTGGCCTTGTTTTCACGGTGGCGACGCCCAGCCCGCAGCTCAGAAGATGCCGTGCCTGGCCGCATACGGTGGCGGCTTCCATGCTCGCATCGGGGTTTGGCAAGTGCATTCCAGGGTTCCACTGCAGTGTTTGCAGAGTCGGGTTTCTGGTGTCTTCCGGTTGTTCGACTTCAGAGGCGTTCATTCCACTCAGCATTTGAACTAAACTGCCGTTTTGATGGAGGCCGACACACGAAGCCCGCGCTCATCATGTCATTTGGAGGAAGCTTGCACTTTGCGAGTATTGGGCAAGACCTGCGTGTGCTTGAGTGCCTACTCTTTGCTCAAAGTCGGGGCAGACATTGACTATCCTGGTCATAAACTTAAACATGCCATAAACTAGACTCGGCCACTAGTTGGACTGTCCATGAGTTAAAATGCGCGACCACCGGCCATCACACCTGCTGGGAGTTCCCAGCTACGACGTGGCAAAGGTCAGTTTTTCATGCAGTGAGCCGAGCTTGACCGAGCCATGTCAACTGGCGACCAGTCACCCTCCGAAACGAGGACGGCGATTGCAACTTTTTCCATGGGCCCCTTGGCACTCGGAATTGTGAATGTGCTTGTAAGCCTGAGCGCCTTCCTGTTTCGTTTGTAATCTCGGCGCGGCAACGACCTCAGAAATGCGTTGGGCATGTCATGTCATGGCTGATGCTCAACCAAGCTGCAGCCCCGGCCTTCGACTGCCTATGTGCCCCTGGCTTCTGTTTGCAAGGATGATTCTGGGCGCCGCAACAGCGTTTCGCACAGCTGCCAGGTGTCCTCAGGGCCACAGCAGGGACCCTCGGCTGAAACGATATCACTATTTGTAGTGATTTCCGGACCGTCGGGTGACTGACCCTTAACCCTGCCAGAACCAGCAAAGGTCTGGTTGAGTAAGTAAATTTTAAATGTTCGTAGGTTCATGCAAAAGAAGTTAAAGCCAAGGTATACCGGCGGCCGGTCCCAGTCTCAGCATGAACAAGCTATCCCGCTTTCGAACTAAGTGGGCTTGAGAGTCGATGCCTTGGTTGGGCTTGGGTGGCCCTTGGGCGAATGGGCTTTTTCCGGGTGGCGAATGCTCTCCGGGTTGCCACAAGGGTTACTATCAGGGTTTTTGCTTGAGAAAGAAACCAGAATCCGGGCGTTTGACGGGCCGTGGCATTTTATAACTAGGGGTTGAATGAGTGGGGCCTGTCTCCGCGTCGCCGGGCGTGGGACAGTCATGCGAGCATCATACTTTTTGGCTTCTTGACATGGTCATGAACTTCTGTTGCACATGGTTTCGGCCTGTATTATCTTCGAAGTCTGCGAAGGATGTGAAGCGGAGCAGCGATAGCCATGCAGAGCCTTGCAAGGTCTGCCAATCCAACCTATCGCACGGTGTGCAACGGCGACGGTGCCTTGCCTTCGCTGCTTTCTTCGTGTCCGTTTGTGGTGTGAAAATCGTCGGCCGCCCAAGCAGACTGCCATCCTGCCGAGGTCATGCAGAGTCGGTGCAGATAGAGTATGACCCCGACATCATCTCCTACCAGGCAGGGAGAGCCAAGTGTGCATTGGTTGTAAGGCCGTTGCCACCGACAAACAAGGGAAGTTGGGAGTTTCAGGGTGTTCGAGGGTAGTTTCGGTGTTGAGTTTCGGGGCGGAGTTTCGGGGCAGAGGCCAGGTCAGTTTCGGATCAGGGCGCGGCCAGTTTATAGTACGCATAGCCACTACCAGTCTGCAAGCAGCAGGAGTTGTACGGGCTACTAGTGACTAGTACTACTGTCGTACTAGAAGTGTTTGTATAGTACCCATAGTATTGTTCTAGTGATATTTTAGTAGTCACCTTGCAACATCCCCCCCGCCCCTGAAACTGGGCCCCGAAACTCACCCCCGTGATCCGAAACTTACCGGCAGCCGATCCGAAACTAGAACCCCGAAACTATGGGCACCCCTATCAGCTTGTTGTCCGCTCGTGCATCTCCGCCATCCATCTGTGAGTGCACAACATGTGTCTTGCAGAAGTTTAGCGGCCAGCGGCCCATCGCCTGTTCAGGAGTTACTTGATGCCTTCTGGCGGAATCATAAGCCCAAGCCAAGCGAGAAGGGTACCCGGGCCAGCAAGTTCTGCATCGGCTTTCGAATTTCTTTAGCATCATGGAAAAATGCAAAGGAGCTTTGGTGTGACAGAGACTTTTGGGTTCATGTTTAGCCATGCTATGCCTGGGTTTTGTTGAGGTTATCTGTTATTATCTGTTATGGACGCAGGGCTGCATGCTTCGAGTCTATTATGCTGTGCTTCGGAGTTTGAGGGTTCCGCCCGAAGCTGGAATGAAGCTCACAGGCACAGGGGTTGTGGAGGAGAAGGTTTGCGCGTGTTTGCCTCAAGGATGAGTGCTTCTGCCGGGGTTTCGGAGGGTCTAGGGTCCGCTGTGCAGCAGCAGATGTCAGTTTCCATTGAAACCAAGGTCAGTACCGATCCAGCATCTGGTACCACAGCGAGGAACAACGGTGGCTGGGCTTCTGCCGAGAATCCTGTACCTTTGTTGGCCTCATCTTATGACCTGCGGTCCTTAACTCCAAGCTCCCTGTCACCTTGCCGGATGCTGATACAGCACCTACATCTTGAGCGGGTATTCAGGTCATAATGGCGAGTATAGTACTGCTGGTGTCTCAGCACGAGAGTCAAAACCTCAGACCACGAAAGCTTCCTTCATTCCTAATTGGTCCTCACAGTTAAAACAACTTCACGGCAATCTGGCTGTTACCTTCCATTCCAAGTCGATCCGTCCAAGCTCCGCGGTTTCTCGAGCCTGAGGCTGCTGGCCCAAGCGTCCGTCGCCAGGGGCCGTGGACGTGGCACATCACTGGTGCAGGTGCCATTTGGTAGACCGTAGGGTTGGCGCCCGATTTCATGCAGGAGCTAAATGTTCAGCAACTTGCAGCCTCAGGGCTTCGAAGGTCTATGCGACCCTTTTCAGACGGACTGTCCTCGCAGCAGGGTATGTGCCCCACATGGCCAGATGCCCCGGCCAGGCGTCCGCGTTTCATGCAGCAGAGGCACATCATCAGATGCTTGGCCGCCAGGAGCGTGACAAGGGTTGCCTGTTTGTGTGCTTATCTGCTTATATTAATATTCTAAAGGGTTCAGATCGGCGTGGCTGAGCAGCATCTCTCCATTTTCGGGCATGGTGCGGCATCGGGACTTACTGCAATTTTCGGCATGCGGTGCCTGTGCTGTCAGTGTAAGGAAGGCGGGCGTTGCCAAAGATGCGCCTCGTCTGGACATTCGGGAGAGCGCTTCCCGTTGCGACGCTCGGCAGAAATTCATCTCCGTGTTGCATGGTTGCCACCTCAGGGCATGCACACAAACAAGGGGGGCTATCACTTCGTGCAAGGCTCCACCTGGATAAGGCTGATGACCCTGATTGTGTGAGCCGGCGGGGGGGGTTCTGGTCCTTCTACAGATGTCCTGCGTGAGAACCTCGCATCCACAGCCCAGGGCTCGTCGTTGCTAAGTATAGGAGGGGAAAAATAGCCCAGCGGCAGAGGTCGACAGCCAACTCCCTACTCCGACTGTGATCGTCCTGCAATGACATGCGAAGACTCCGCAGGATGTCGTGGTATGTCGTGGTGAGAAGCGTAGCTGAACAGACCGTTCTCTAACCTCCTCTGCCACAGCCATCTTCCCAGGGGACGGCCGGGAATCAGGGACTCCAGTTTCCAGCGGTTTGAAGATCATGTGCTGAATTGCCCAGGATGTGCAGTGACGGCTGCACTTTGTGAAGCCTCTGGAGCCTCAGTTGCCACTGGTGTTACAGAGCCGGTGCTCTTGGAGGCTTCTGGTTTCGTCTGGCTCACTACTCCCTAGTCTCAGATTCAGATGAAGTGCAACCCCTTCATGAAGGAAGTCTTTTGGGGTTCGCGGGACGTGCGCTTTGATGGGGACATTCTGAAATTCTCTCCTGCAGCTGAGGGATGCTTTGCAAACCACTGGCTGAGACGTGTGCCGTGATGATCTGCATCCTTTTCCACATTTGTTTCAGGCCATGCGTGCCTGTACAGTCAGGGTTCTTCCAGAGCTTTCCGTCTGAGTGTCGGATCATCGGACCTCGATTTCCAGGCATGCCGAAGCATCAGAAAAAATGAGCGAGTCGTCGGCCGGGCAGTTGCTGTCACTTCCCTGGTGAGCGCAGATTGAACTGTGAACGCCACGTCGTGCTCGTGGTACTGGTTGCCGTGGTGGGACCCCTAGGCCCGTAGGTTCAACGATACGCAACCCATAACAGATTTTCAATTTCAATCGCCGGCCGGAGCTCGCATTGCGCTGCCTTGTCTCTGACCCCGACACTGACACTGTAAAGCCGGAACCCGTCACACGAAACTACTCGCTAGGGTTTAAGGTTTACCGTTCCGCGGGTTGGGGGTTTGAAGGATTTGGGGTGCATTTCATGTTTTCTACTCCCCGACAGCCGGGGACTTTCGAATTGGAAGCCGCGTGACCGGCTCAGGCGACGTGCCCTCAGAGCAGAATGCCGCTGAAAGGGGCCTGGATCCAAGTGAAGTGGTGTTCGTGTTTGATGAGAGTATTCGGTCGGAGTATTCGAAATGATCGAAACGTCCCGTTTTCGGCCCTCGCACCCGGCGCCAAACCCCCCCCCCTACTGTTCAGAGCGCGGAGCGGAGAGCGATCTGTTCATGGCCGAGGTCGAGCTCGAAGTTGTCGAAGGCATAACGGAACATTCGAGCCGCGTGGCACTGAAAGGACCGGAGGGTTGGAATCAGGTTCGAGAGACAGAGGAGGTTTTGTGGAGTTTAGGGTGAGGTTTCGTGCTGCTGTGCGACTGTTCAGTTTGAGGCTTGCGTCGGTTCCGGCATTTGAGGTTTACGGTAAAGTGGAAGAACCAGAGAAGAAGACTTTGCAGGAGCTTTTCACATCAAATTTGGCCCCCTGGGGAATTTGAGAGCTCGAGGCCGCCCCCTGCAAAATGCAGGTGTCACATAGACTTCAGAAATCTGCAGTCTTGGGTATCTAAGAGTTCCTTGTTTGGCTACTGGGTCCGCATCTTCACGGCAGCCAGCAGTAACCACGAGTTTGGCATGTTGAGTCGTGCCCAGCCGAAACAAACACGGGAGCTTTGCTGATGGGCTCTCGACTCTAGCGATCCTAGCTCACGCGCGGGTGGGAGCAGTGAATAAATTTCGGCAAAGCATATGAGAGTCTCTAGATCGAGGTACAGCAATGCTGAGGATGATGTGTTTTTGGGATCGAACTCGAGCCTCACCTTGACAGAACCTGGAACCGGAAACTGCTGTTGAAGTCCAGGAGTTTTCCAGAACTTCGGTGATGTGGTGTCATGCTGGGTCCAGATCTCAGCCAGTGGCAGCTGTTCTCAAGGCCAAAGATGGCCAAAGACAAGGCGTTGTGCTGTGCATCTGGTGTTCTTCCTTTGCGTGATGTGGGAGCTCGAGAGCTTCGCATGGCATGTTGCGGCAGACTCCGCTCCAGTGAGCCGCTGAGCGAGGTGCCACCAGTGGATAGACGAGGCACGGACAAGGCAGGTCCAAACGACATTCTTTTCGAACAACCGGCGTCACTACGCAGCATGTACAGTGGCTGGACCGCAAGCCAAAAAGACAAAGAGTCGGTCCTTACCGGCTTCTTGGGCTTTGAATGTACGAATCCGTCGACTCCTGCCACCTCACCCCCACACCACCCGGCGCCCACCGCTCATGCCTTAGGCGTTATATCTGATGTTCTCCTGGATGTAAGAACACATGGAACTCAGAAGGACCATGCCCACAGCACATTCCCGAATCCCCAGGGCTCCCCAAACAAAAACAAAAAAGCAAAAAAACATGCGCGCAGAGATGTGCGAGATGTGAGGCCTCGGTGCGCTTCGCCAACGCCCAGGCCGCCGAGGCGGCTAAGGAGGCCTGCGACGCCGGGCAGGCCGGGCGGAATAGTCTCTGTCTAGGATGGTGCCCGAGCATGCTATGTGCTGGGGCGAGGGGGCCTGGGAGTGGTGTGCATATATAGGTACATACCTGTATAGACGAACATGATGATATGAGCTTGTCTGCGTGAGACGAACGTCCCCCTCTAAAGCTTCAGGTCTTCCTGCAAGGCATGATGGTCAAGGCAAACTGGCGATCGGGAGGAGGTAGGAGAGTCCGGACCTCACTGAAGAAGTGTTCCCATTCCGGACCAAGTCCTTGCAGTTTTCGAGTCTTGAAACCTGCGTGGTAATTTCAGTGGTCACTGCCTATGGTTGAACCTTTGGGGCAAGCCTGTCATGTGCAAACAGGCCTGGCAGATTTCAAGATGTCAGCGTGCCTCCGTGTAAGCTGAAGCTTTGTTCCAACTGATTCCATATCAGCAATTGCCAAGGTTGGCAACAGCGACCTTGGCGAGCTCAGCAAAGCCAATGATTTTGAGGACGGCGGCATGAGGCATGGCAATTTCACAACCTGAACATGCTTTCACGTACGCCTGTTTATGCGCGTGGATCGTCTTCCGATTGTCCCTCAGGCAGTTCGCGATCATGGACCGCCGACCCCCTCCGCCCCGACCACGGGAGAGCCAGCGAGAGCGCGAGCGGGATCGTGAGCGGGACCGCCCGCGCCGGAAGCTAAGAAGGGCAAGCCGTGTTGCTCTTTGGCTGATGGGGCTCCAAAGCGCTGCTTCGCTGATATGCCATACACATTGAACACATCGCAAAAACCCCATGGCTGATATCCAGCATGTCGCTTTCCAAGTCGAGTCTCATCTTGATGCAGCCCATCTAAGGCCGAAGTCGCTCCCGGAAAAGGCCGCCGCGAAAGGGATTCCGGGTCACACAGCGGCTCAACCCTAAGCCCTGTCAGTGCTAAACCCTTAAGCGATGAAGCGCACGTCGACCTTTGCTTCTGTCTCTCTCTCTCTCTCTCTCTATCTCTCCCTCCCTCACCTTGCCTCTCTGTCTGTATGTATGTATGTATGTATGTACGTATGTATGTATGTATGTATGCAGAGTCCTGGGACGATGCCACATGGGAGCCAAAGTATGTATGCATGTATGTATGTATGTATGTATGCATGTATGTATGTATGTGTATGTATGTATATGTATGTATGTATGTATGTATGTATTTAGTATGTATGTATGTATGCATGTATGTATGCATGCATGTATGTATGTATGTATGTATGTATGCATTTATGTGTATGGGGTGCGAGTGCTAAGCATGTAATCATTTGTGTAGATACATACATACATACATACATACATACCTACGTACGTACGTACATACATACATACATACATACACACATATATATATGCGTGTATATATATAT